AGTATATATGCATAAATAAATAACATATATATTGAAATAAACAATATAATAATTGAATTGCATGCTATGAAAGTTATTTTTCGTATCAATTTATTTTATATTATATATCTATATAATATATGCTTTAAATTTGATATATACATCATTTAATTAAATTTAATAAGTTTTCCAATATAAAAAAATTAATCATAATAAAAACGAAAAAAATCTAGATAACATTATAATAAAAAATACATGTTCTAGTTTTTTATAAAATAATATTATAATTTAATTACCTAAGCGTCCTTGGTCTAGCAGTATCAAAACGTTTAAAAATTTATCTCTCACTTAGGGGGTTGACGGTTCAAGTTTCGTGATGAAAGCGAAACACCATAATGAGAGGTGGCTTGGGCGTCTCCGACATGATGCTCTATAAACACGGGACATCATCCCCACTAGTGTGGGACTAGAAAAGATGGTTTGATGCATATTCAAAAGATAACACAAAGAAAGAAATGAGAGATGCACCTTGGGAGGGAGATGGGTTGAGTGGGTTCGTTGGGAACATCACTTCCTCCATTTTCGGAACGGGGACTTGAACAGGTTAGAGGGTTAGGTAACAACAATTCCCTACACCCTAATGAAAAGAACCATTAATTGTTTTTATAAACAGTATCATCTTTTTTAATTTTTTTGTAATTAGTTGTAAGAGTTATGAAGATTTTTGTCCCAATTAATGATGAGTAGGTCATTTTAATAACTTTGTTCCCTTAATGATGTGATGTGATACCTAAAAAATATAAAGACATCAAATGTACTTGGCCCTTTGATTAGATAAAAAAAATATAGTTTACAACTTTAAAAACATCTGGTCCGTTTTCTAATTAGTTTATATAAAATAATAAAAGCTCTAATAAGTGTTCAAAAAGTTAAAAAGCATAAAATGTGATTTTTGTATTCGTTTGTTAAGAAATGAAAATAAATACATTTACTGTATTTTCAAATGTATTTTCTTGTTAAAAGTAATAAAACGAAAAAAAAATTATTATATGTACTTGACGTTTTGATTAAGATAAACTCATAAAAGAAATGGTCTTTATGACTTTAAAAATATCAATCCTATTTTCTAATTAGTTTATATATAAAAAAAAAAAAAAAAAAAAAAACTCTAAGTGTTCAAAAAGTAAAAACAAATGCAATATGATTTTTGTATGGATACATTTATCTATACCCGTTCACCATCTATTTATACTCCTTAATCATTATCTCTTACTTTTCTTTAAATAACTATAATAATTACCTAATAATTTTAATTTTTTGTATATAATTAATAAGTAATGATGAAATATTTTTAAATATATTTAATATATTTTTTATATTTTTAAATATAAAATATAAATATGTTTAAACTAGTTTTATTTATTTATTTTATTATCTTTAAATTTATTATGGATATTTTTTTTAATTTATTTAAATACATTATCTAATGTCGTAATATATTATTTTATTTTATTTTTTTATATCTGGTTTAATGATTTTAGATTTTTTTTTATGTTTTGTTCGAATAAATTGTTTTTTGCTAGAAAATATATAACAGTTTAATATTATTCGTTTACAGATTCCAAATTAACATATAATTGTTTCAGATTAGTTTATGTATAATGCAAAAACGTTAAAAAAAAATTAAATTTAAATAACCGCTTCAGATTAGCCTATGTATAACTCGAACATGTTTATAACTGTTTTGAGTTAGCTTATGCATAAAGCAGGGCCAACTCTACATTATGAAAAACTAAACAAGGGCTTAGGGCCCCAAATTCTAAAGGACCCCAATTTCAAAGTTTATTCTGTTATATATATAT